TTTTTCCTTTGCGGCTCTTAATATTTTTTCTTTGTTCTGTGTGTTTAGAGTTTTGATTATTATGTGGCGAGGGGACTTTTTTTTTGGATCCAGCCTATTCGGTGTTCTGTAAGCTTCTTGTATCTTCATAGGTATTTCTTTCTTTAGGTTAGGAAAGTTTTTGCTGCTGTGAAACAGCTTTGACAAACACTAAATATTCATTTGAGTTAGCTGGGTTGTATATACTTGCAGATTTTAAAAAGGATAGGGAAATTGAAAAAGACATGTAGAATTTTGTTAGGTCGGCTAAGCATGGATAATGAATATATCTGCTTACATTAATTTTATAAAGTCATTCAGTCAGGATTTAGGATTCAGTCATCGGCAGGTATCTATGCATTCATAGAACTTCTAAGGGTAAGGGATTTTTTTTATAGTTTAAATAAAGTCAGCTGAATCTACATGTCTCTCGTTTTATTTCTCTCTAAACTTGAAAACAGTAAATCTGCAGATACTGTGAAGCACAGATTATAATTCACAAGAAAGGAAAAATAAGAGAAATAAAAGCCGGGTATGGTGGAACACACCTTTATCTCAGTACTGGGGGTTGGGGAGGAAAGCAGAGGCAGGCATATTTCTGAGTTTGAGGCCAGCCTGTTCTGCATAGTAAGTTCTAAGCCAGTAATGGACATATAATAAAACCTTGGGAATAGTGAGAAGCAGAGTGCTAGGGAGGTTCCCAGGAATCCACAAGGATGATTCCACCATAGACTGCTGGCAATAGTTGAGAGAGTGCCTGAGCTGGCCTACTCTGGTGATCGGATGGCTGAATACCCTAACTGTCATCATAGAACCCTCATCCAGTGACTGATGGAAAGAGATGTAGACATGCACGGCCAGGTCCCAGGCAGAAGCTCCAGGAGTCCAATTGATGAGAGAGAGGAGGGATGCTGTGAGCAAGAGATATCGAGACCATGATTGGAAAAAGTACAGAGACAACTAGCCAAACTAGTGGAAACACACAAACTGTGGACCAAGAGCTGAGGAGCCCCAATGGTACTGGACTAGTCCCACTGGATAAGTGAGACAGTTGTTTAGCTTGAACTGTTTAGGGGTCCCCAGACAGTGGGATCGGGACCTGTCCCTAGTGCATGAGCTGGCTTTTTGGAGCCTAGTGCCTATGGTGAGACACTTTGCGCAGCCTTGGTGCAGGGAGGAGGGGCTTGGACCTGCCTCAACCGAATGTACTAGGCTCTGCTGACTCCCCATGGGAGACCTTGCCTTGGAGGAGGTGGGAATGGAGGGTGGGTTGGGGGGAAGGCTTGGGGGTGGGAGGAGGGGGGACAGGGGAATCTGTGGTTGGTATGTAAAATGAATAGAAAATCTCTTAATAAAAAAATGTAAGAGGAAAAAAAAGAAAGAAAATAAAAATAAAAATGAATGAAAGAAACCTTACTTACTGATTCCTGCATGTTCTATTTCTGCATTATATAAAGAATGACTCTTCCATTCTAATGCAAGACACTTTCAGGAAGACCAAGAGAATACAGTGTACAATAAAGCAGAAAAACTCCAGTTTGTCAAATTTGCTGAGTAATCGAGTTTATATTATTTTGTTTATTCAATACCAGGCCATTAAAACTGTTCCTTAGCTTTGCATTTCCAACATAAATACCTAGGTTTTTAGTAGTTTTTGCCTGACCTATCAAGAGATATTAAGGACATTTCTTTATTATTCAGTCACAGGATCAATAAGAACTAATACAGACATTCACTCTTATCACAGACTAGCTGATGTAGTATGGTAAGGTTCTTTTTTTTTTTTTTTTTGGTTTTTTCGAGACAGGGTTTCTCTGTGTAGCTTTGCGCCTTTCCTGGAACTCACTTGGTAGCCCAGGCTGGCCTCGAACTCACAGAGATCCGCCTGCCTCTGCCTCCCGAGTGCTGGGATTAAAGGCGTGCGCCACCACCGCCCAGCTAAGTAAGGTTCTTAAAAACAGTTGGTTATAGCATTATTTTCTACACAGTTTATGTATCAAAAGACATCATTGATGTTTAGAGTAGCAACTTTGATGGAAGGCATCCTATGTGACATATGGGTTTAGTATTTTCAATTTATGTTCAATTTATATTTACAATTTCAAAAGAAATACAGCTTTCTGAGGAATGTATTACAATATACTTCTAGGTTCCTTCACATATAATTTGTATTCTGTTTTCATCATACTTAATAAAGGTTTTTGTGTCAGAAGAACCATGTTTATATTTTATAAAGTATATTATTTAATCTTTTCTACTAAAATTTGCATCACAATGATGAGAGTAGGAATTCCCTGCTACTAAAATGCGGTATCTAAATTCAGAAAAATTGATAAGATTGGGAATCTTGATCAAGGCTTCTCCACAGTTACTAGGTTCTCGTTGCAGTAAGCATTCTTCCTGGCATGAATTTTCTGATGTCTGCTGAGGTTTGCCTTGTGATAGAAGACTTTGCCACACTAATTATACCCATGGGATGTTTCTCCAGTGTTTATTGAGACATGACTTCTGCCTGAAGCGTTTTCCACATTCTCTGCAGTGATAACGTCTTTCTCTTGTGTGTATCTTCTGATATACATTGAGGTATGACTTTTCACCAAATGATTTTCCACATTCACTGCACAAAAAGGGTCTCTCCCTTTTATGTGTTCTCTGATGTTCTGTGCAGGGTGATTTCTTAGTGAAGGCTTTCCTACACACAAAAAAGCATTTGAAGGGTCTTACCCCAGTGTGAATTCTCTGGTTAACAGTCAGAGGATCCATAAGTTTCCTCCCCACTTGTGACTTCTCTGATGTCTAATGAATTCAGACTTGTAGCAGAAGGTTTTCCCACACTCACTACAAATATGGGTTTTTTTTCTGTAGATGGAACCCTCTTTTTTTTTTTTTTTTTTTTTTGAGACAAGGTTTCTCTGTAGCTTTGCACCTCTCCTGGAACTCACTCGGTAGTCCAAGCTGGCCTCAAACTCACAGAGATCTGCCTGGCTCTGCCTCTCGAGTGCTGGGATTAAAGGCGTGGGCCACCACCGCCTAACAGATGGAACCCTCTTAGGTTTATATACAAGACAATTGACCACCAGTGTTTTATATACAAGTGCTGGGTTATGGCCAAAAGCTTTCCCACATTCACTGCAACCCCCAAAGTTTTCTTCTTTAGATCATCTATCATGGTTGGTATGCTGTAACCACTTCCTAAGTTCGTAACATTCATCTTTCTTTTTTGTATAGTTTCTCTTAAAACCCATCAAGTTTAAGTGATGGCTTAACTCTTTTCACAAGGATCTGCATTATTGGGGTTTTTAATTGAAGGAAAAGGATCATTACTCAGAAGTGGTACTGTCCTAAACTTATTACATTCATGGATTTATTCCCCCTGGATGACGTTTTCTTGCTGATGAGTTCACTG